TAGAGAATATTCCTGGGTCTCATATACTCTTATCTTCCATTAAAATAAACATGTTGACGTCATCTCTATGGTCGATAAGAGTGCAGACCGTATGAAGTTGATGTTGATTTGTTTTTTATAATAACATCGACAGTTTTTGACGTCCGTTTCCGTTTCTTTGAAAGTCGCACGGGCGAAAAAGTGATCTCTTGTTCTCGACCACTCAGCACCCGATAAATCACTCAGTTATACAATTATGATTCCTGTTTCGACGGATTTTTCTGAAGATGACTTAACCAACAGGGTAAGGATAAACAAAAAATTGATTTGGGAGTAAAGATATTAAAAGGCGACTTTCTATGATATAGAATTTTTTGTTTTTCCCCTCCTGCGTAGCTGCGTAAAACTCCTTGTTACAGGAATGCATCAACAGATCTTCGCATAGATCAATCATGATATAATTCTACTCCAATAAGTAATAAGTCTTTTACTTTCTTAAATGATACATCACTATAATCTTGCAGATAAGAACGAATGTGAATTAGATTCCAAAATTTGTGGATCACACTCTGCGTGTACCAACAATGAAGGATCCTACAAATGTAACTGCGAACCTGGTTTTAGGAGCGCAAGTGGTGATGGGAAGCGTTGTATAGGTAAGAGGCTATGAGCAGATTTATCTTGACTTCATTGTTTACATTTTTGCTCGTTAGTATACGAGTTAACCCATAGAAAAATTAGCCGTATATACCGATTAGGTTGAAAAATTGAAAGAGTTAATTTGATTAATTAAAGCAGTTTGCAAAAGTTTCAACACTTTGCAATCAATAACAAAGGAAGTTAAGAAGCAATCAAAAATTGGGAAATTGGTGGAAGGGAAAATATATTATTTTTTGTTAAATTTGGGTTTTTTTTTTTCAAATATAATTTCTTCGAACCTATTCGGTATATCGGGCTCACTTTTTCAGAGATTTCTGAAATTGTTATGCTCTTTCAGTATTCAGAGGTTTTATTCTAGCAGGTCTAGTAGCATTATCAGACGATAAGCATATGTTAACTGCTTGATCTGTCTTTTTAAGATAGAAAATATTAATAGAAAATAATTCAACCTGTCAATTGGCAAAAAAAATGCAGGAAATCATTGGAAATATCCTTCGAATTTATTGGATCCTTGATTTTTTATAGGGGAACTTATTTGGTGAATTATTTATATCTATTTTTTTATGGCAGATATAGACGAATGTAAGGAAAAGTCTGTTTGTGGAACTGTGGCAAGATGTGAAAATATGCTAGGAATGTTTGACTGCATTTGTCCTCAAGGCTACCGCTATGTTGAAGAAACGAAGGGATGCCCAGGTTAACAACAAAAAACCCTTTAGTTAACTCTATCTGAAGTCCACACTTTAATTTTTTTTTCCAATCGCCGTGTTCAGTACGGGAAAATGCAAATTGGAATGACTACTTTCAAAAAAGAACAAGTAAACGTTAAATTTCCCGAATCTTTAGAATACGAAATTTAGGTCTAACATAGTCCATTCTTTGCAATTCTCAGCTTATAGAGGAGAACAGTGAGGCGGCGAAATGTTAAACAGGGAATTAATNCATTGGAAATATCCTTCGAATTTATTGGATCCTTGATTTTTTATAGGGGAACTTATTTGGTGAATTATTTATATTTATTTTTTTATGGCAGATATAGACGAATGTAAGGAAAAGTCTGTTTGTGGAACTGTGGCAAGATGTGAAAATATGCTAGGAATGTTTGACTGCATTTGTCCTCAAGGCTACCGCTATGTTGAAGAAACGAAGGGATGCCCAGGTTAACAACAAAAAACCCTTTAGTTAACTCTATCTGAAGTCCACACTTTAATTTTTTTTTTTCCAATCGTCGTATTCATTACGGGAAAATGCACATTGGAATGATGACTTTCAAATTTCCCGAATCTTTGGAATACGAAATTTAGGTCTAATTGTCCATTCTTTGCAATTTTCAGCTTATAGAGGAGTACAGTGGGGCGGCGAAATGTTAAACAAGGAATTAATAGTGCAACCCAAACGCAAAACGTTTGTCCAAAACTGATATTCTTAATCTTTGCTTTCAGTTACTCAGAAGTAATACTTAGTATTAGTACAAAAATATATCTCAGGTCGTTCCCTTATAGGATAGGTACGCTATCAAGAATCATATCAAGATCATATTGAACCTATAATAATTCAGGAGTTAATGTATAATGAAATTCTTTAGGCCTTAGCTTTACTGATTATTTGCTTATATCATGTAACTAAAAAGATCAATGTGTTATTTTAAGAAAATAAATTTTCCTCATGTTGGCCTCTTTTTTAAAAACATTTTTTGGCATCATGCAGACATAGATGAGTGCGCGGAGCATGTATGTGGTCCTAACACTTTGTGCTTCAACACCAATGGCTCTTATTCGTGCGCCTGTCAAGCGGGATTTCGCTCAGAAAATCACACGTTAAACTGCACAGGTGACTAACGAAATAAGGTATTTTCTGTGAAAATAACATTAAATGTCTTATTGATTACACCTTAGTAATTCGTCTTTCAATCCAAACTTTTCCATGCCCTATTAACAAATTGAGTTAAGATCCTTCTATTGAATGATCACTCTGTTTTAGAACACATTATCAATCACTGACACCAATCAAGCTTCCAGGTATTACGTGCTTCGGTTTTTCTTAATATTTAAGTGTTCTTTCAAATCAAGCTACACCCCCGTAAGGGATAACTATAAGCTGAAATATCTTGTAAAATCCACGCCCAATTCGATCGGCGGTTATGCCAGAGGAATTATCAATTTTACTTTCTTTCACACAACAACTTTGAGAGGCTTTTGTTGGTAACTTTCATGAGCACGCAAGCATCTGCTACTCTAGTTTAAGACCATAAATGNATTACACCTTAGTAATTCGTCTTTCAATCCAAACTTTTCCATGCCCTATTAACAAATTGAGTTAAGATCCTTCTATTGAATGATCACTCTGTTTTAGAACACATTATCAATCACTGACACCAATCAAGCTTCCAGGTATTACGTGCTTCGGTTTTTCTTAATATTTAAGTGTTCTTTCAAATCAAGCTACACCCCCGTAAGGGATAACTATAAGCTGAAATATCTTGTAAAATCCACGCCCAATTCGATCGGCGGTTATGCCAGAGGAATTATCAATTTTACTTTCTTTCACACAACAACTTTGAGAGGCTTTTGTTGGTAACTTTCATGAGCACGCAAGCATCTGCTACTCTAGTTTAAGACCATAAATGTTGTTTGAAAAAAACAATAAGTGGCTTCCACTGACAACCTCGTCCCCAGGTCCCCTCCCATTTTTTTAGTATAAAGCCCTAGGGACTAGGTTGTTCCAGTGAAGGTTTTTCGCAGCTGAGGACTAGTAGAAAATCTAGCAAGTCCAGTCAGATTAGAGTTTGCATATTTTATATTATAACTCTTAAGACTCAGGACTTTTGTTACCAATATTTCAGACCATAAGGCTGGGCTTAAAATCGAAAATCTTTGGTGCCAAAAATATCTACAGATTATATATTAAAACGCCTGACACGAAAGTATCTCTTCCGTCTTAAACGCTTCATTCTGTAATTACTTTAAAGTAATATGATGAATTCAATTTGCATTTTCTTGTTATATTTCAGATATTGATGAATGTTTGCAGAACACTTACACCTGCGACTCAGCGTCAAACTGTGAAAACACACTCGGTGGATATGATTGCAGGTGTAAGGAGGGCTATTATAAGACAGCTCAAGGCACGTGTGCAGGTAATCATCAAATCATGTGTTGTACGCACATAGAGCAAAATATGCTTTAGGTGAGGCGTTAAAGGGCCCTAAAAATTTGTAAATGATAGTAGAAAGCCCTAATATAGACTTAACCTTTCCTGGAGTTTGAATAAAGACCGCATACACAAGAATAGTCTTCAATACGCGGTACGTTGTACCCAACCTCCCTTCCCCCTGTGATTTGGCCTGAAATGACCGACCGACCCACTTTTACGAAAAAAAGGGGCAATGGAAAACGAAATCTGATGTCTGATGTCTCCTTCACTCTGTGTTTATGTAGTAATATATTTACTTAACAATTAATAAATGAGGCTGAGTATCTCATGAAGAATTATGGAGATCGAGGAGGGTGTTATCCGGCCGAGGCGGATAATACCCTCCGAGATCTCAATAATTCTTCACATGATACGAAAGCCGAATTCAATAATTGTTTTATTATTCATTCAAAATAATTCCTAGTTTAAAAACATGGCTAAACATGCTTACCTCCATCGATCCATCGATGTTAAGATCATCTTCGACAGTGTACGTTTAGGGTTGTTCAGCTCCGCAAATATTCTCCAAATAGCAGATGTCGCCCTTCGAGTTGTCTTCGTGCTGTTCTTGCCATGTTTTTAGCTATTTTTTCGCCTAATTCTTACTCTTGAAACGAGTGAAATGTCCGCCATCTTTCAAGTTCACAACCAAAACAACTCAACCTCGTCCCCAGGTCTTCTCGGTTAACGGTGCAGTAACCTGTAGAAGGCTACATTTTTGACGTCATTTCCTCGTTAAACACAAAATTCTTCTAAATTTGGTCATCAGTAACTGGTTATGGTGAATTATGCGTGTGCTTTTAGCCAATCAGAATCGGGGAAATATTTTGAATGAATAATAATAACAATTAACCCCCAGTTGTTCGTCTATCCCGCCTAGATTAGCAGTTGCTACTTGCAGGTCAGTGTAATTACTGAAGTTAAGTTCTTGAATTGTTGTTGTTGTAAACCCTCAATGGGAGTGGCCTATGATCCTTCAATAGCAGAGATTATACGTTCATTGATTACTCACACGCCTTATGTAAAACACACTCCTACATACAGCTAGCTCAAATCTCTATATGATTCGTCGTGTTCAATACACTTTCCTTATTCTTGCTGCAGTGCATTGTGTTTTAAATCTTTTGAAACCTCTCTTGCAGAGAAGTGCGGTGTAAGCTGTGGCGAAAATGCCTTTTGTCATCATGGACAGTGTCTCTGCCTTCCTGGGTACTCCCTTGGACCGTTCAATGAGTGTTACGAAGGCAAGTTGCTATAATTTTAAAAACTCCGCTCACGATTACAGTTTTATAGTAACTTTGATGACAATTTTGATATTATACGTTGCTTTAGAGAAAATTTTTAAGCGCTGAATCCCTATTACTACCCGGATCATAAAACGATAAAAAGTCTTTTAGCTTTTAGGACAGATATCCCAAGCGGTTGGTCTCGAGAGATATCGTACAACCTTCCGCAACTTCGAAAACACTACCAAGTCTTATGAGAATAAATATACATGAACTAAAAGGGTCATACAAATTTCATGGCTGTATTAATGAACGAAATAGTCTTATTAAGGAGGTTCTTAAGTAAGAAAATTAGTAAGTAGTTTTTATCGAATGAAATGTGGGATTTAAAATAGAGATAGTCGAAAGGTAAGAATACTCTATCATGTGACTTAAATGATGGACTCTTTCAAAGTGAATAATGACAATGTATCTTATAAACGTTAATTCTGGTTTCGTTTCTAGATTCATTCTTTTTACTTGGATCAGGAAAGGCTCTTCAGTCTCCCTTTATGCTCATCATGGCTGGATTGTTTGGATGCAAATCTTTTCTTTGAGCTTTCTTCTACTTCCAATGCAATGAGTAAAATTCCGGTTGCAGAATTTCTGATCAAATCTTTAGATTAATTAAAACTGAAGCACACTGGCTGAGAAAAGTTCATCGGAGTTGTGATGCGATACTAAATATAATACTTGTAAAGTATAAAATAATGAAACGTCTTTGTTCATTGCTGCGACATTTATTGTAAGGAAAAACTGCATTCACTTATTTTCAAGTATACGAAAAACTGAAGCACTGGCTAATGTAAAAAGTTTGAACGTCCCAACGAGAAAATGGCTCTTTCACATAAAACCGGGAAAATACCTTTTTGACAATCAACAATTAACTACTACTAACAGATTTTTATATTTCAAAATGAAATCATGTGAAATGGCGTCTCTAAAGATACCGAATAAATAACTGGAGGTCCTGTGGTACATGGTGTCTCTATCTTTCGCTACCTTTCGCCATGTGGCACCCCGGTACCCTTTAAGGTAACTCAACCTCGTTTATAATGATTTTGGATTCCTTGAGCTGTATTCCGGATTCCAAAGCCGAGGATTCTGGAATCCTCAGGAAAAAGTTCCCAGCTTCCGGATTCCACAAGCAAAAATTTCTCGGATTGCGGAATCAGGATTCCTTATAATTCGTTAGACGAATTAAATTTCCACTGCTGATTGTATTCCATAGCGATGAATCTACTCACTGGAAGTTCGAAACCTACTGCTCACATCGTCAAGTCCTATAATGTCTGCTGGACGGGATTGCTTGATACCACACACTCTCCCTCGGAGGGTACTACATTATATAGCTTATAAGGGGATGTGCTGCTGGGCAGGGTATAGCTTTTGACCTCTCTGTTCTAAACAGGGTGTATAATCTCGTTTGAGTCTGCCCTAAACATGGTATACAATTCCGTGTGAGTCTGTCAACAGGGTATTGCCTGCACGGATTGATCTGATTTGCTAGATGAATTTTGTTCGTAGTCCAAGTATACAAAGCAGTGACTTTTTTCCTGAATTTGCTCTACTACAGTCGCCAATATCAAAATGGCTTTAAAACAAAAACGGCTTGCATTTTGTCCTTTGTCCTCCAGGGTTGTCCCAAACAAGGCATGTATTTTAGGATTGTTTTGTCCTAAACAGGGTGAGGGTTTTAAACCCTCAGCGGCTCACCCATACCCAAATATTGATCAAGTACCCCCCCCCCCCCCGCCCCCCCCCCCCCCCCCCCAAGCTAGGCGGGCAGCCCCCCCCTGCAAACAAAACAAAAGGGCAATGACCACCATTTTTTAAAAAAAAATATAAACAGGGGACTCGGGCAAAACCGGTGTAAAGGCTTTTTTTGCGTTTTTGGGCTGACTTTTCCCCCCCCCCCCCCCGGCACTCTCCCCACTCGCCCAAGTACGTAGGTGTACGCTCTCTGGTAAGGACGGAACAATGCACATTACACCCATGGTTTAAAAATCAAGTTAACTAGGGACATCGTGCAGAAAGTGGTTGAAGCGTTTCTTGGTGCTTTTGGGTACCAAGCTCCAATGTATAACAACAACAAAAACAAACAATTGTTAAATTCAAGAAATGGGCTCGATTTTTATTGGAAATGAGGCTGTAGTGCCTGGTTTCTCAATGATATTTTGCGCTGAGAATTAAGGAAACATGTATTTATAATGGTATACGTACAACGATAGGCAGCCAGCAAACGTAGATGAGAAACACCGCTGATTGAAGAATCTTTCTAAACTGGCGGCTCTCCTTTAGATGCCCACTTTGTTCCTTGTGGGGACCTCTGGGGTAGCTGCCTTGTTCTGGTAACGTACTTATCTTTCTTGTCATGGTTGGCTCTTCATTGTTGCCTTGCTAACAATTTTCGTCTGTCTCTTTAATTAGATTTTCCTGTCCTACGTATACTGTCATATATTCCAAAGCGCGCACGCCGTGCAGTTTTTGCGCCATTTTTGGCTGTTTTTATTTTTTGTTAAGCTTTTCCGTGGTTTTGACTGAGGTGTTGGTGTCGAGGGGTATAGTCATGTTTATGAGAAGGCAGGTTTTATCCTTCTTGTTCTTTAGCCGGGTGTCCGGCCTTTTAGCTGCGATGTTTCTGTCAGTGTGGATGGACATGTCCCACAGAATGGTGACGCTGTCCTTCTCAGTGACAGCCTTGGGTTTAGCTCATACCATCGTTCCTTCACCCCAATACCAAACTCTTTGCAGATCTTCCAGTGCATGTGCGCAGTTGTCTTGTGTTGGCGGTGTATGTGTTCAGTTTTAGCCAGTTCAGGGCAGCCAGAGACCAGATGGTCAAGGGTCTCTCTGAAACGGCCACACAGTCTGCATTTTGGGTCCACGTCAGGCTTCTTGAGGATGTTGTGGTGGTACCAGCGTGTTGGGAGGCTTTGATCTTGGGCAGCGATGATAAATCTCTCGGTTTCTGCCTTGAGGCCAGGTGCTTTTAGCCGTCTGTGGGTCTTGTCGTGGTCCACGTCAGCCTGTTTCACCAGCTGTGGGTATTTGCCGTGGAGCATCATCATCACCATTATCACCATCATCATCATCATCATCATCATCATCATCATCACCACCACCACCACCACCACCACCACCACCACCACTACCATCATCATCATCATCATCATCATCATCATTATTTTTTTCAGTACCTGGTCATGACTTAAAATCGGATCATTTTATTTTTTTGGCAAGAGAACGGTTGGACACCCATTGTACGATACAGGAGACTATTGATATGGGATTTAAAGCCTTCCCTAAATAAAAATGTTATCAGTGAAAAACATTACCTTTGATAGTTTTAGTTTTGCAATAATGCGACAACAATTGCAAATTGAAAGAGATGGAGTGACAATGATAAAAGTTGTAAAAGCGCGAACTCGTTTTTTTTAACTGAAGTTCTTGCAGCCGTCGCATTCCCGGTTGCTTACTTAAAGCTCTCCAATGAAATGTTTTGGAAGGCAACTAAGAAACTGAATTAGTAGTGAAACATTGGCAGAAAGTTGGATAGTTAGAATAAAAGTCCAATAAAACACAAGATGCTCCAAACTAAAGTAAATAATTTCCTTTTATTTAGAAATCTTATATAAAAAATAGCTATGACTATATGAACACCTAAAATTATCTAATATTTTTATGCTTTGATTTAAGAATGGTCCATCCAAATTAGCCTCAGATATGTGAGTGTTAAAATTTAGTATAATATACCATTTATTTTCTACACCTAGTGCACAAAAACTATGTTGACACAAACTGACTTAAAATATCTATTGACTAACCTGACATACGTAAACTGTTAAATCAGATAGTTTTCTCCACTACGGTGGATACGTTCAATGCTTACAAAGCAAATTCCTGTCAATTTTCTTTGCCTCCAATTTTATATTTGCTAAAAAAAGTAAACAAATAAACAAACAAACGGCAACGCGGATTAAAATTTGACCCAAGGTTGGCGATAGTCGGCCTTCCAAACACTGGGCCATGGAGTACAAAACCGAACTTTTATACATTGTATAAAGTAAAATCTTAATTTCGATGCTACGCATCAGCAACTTTATAAATAAACGCAATAGACTCCTTCGTCTTAATGACGAATATATAGAATTAGAGACGAATCCGTCTAAGACGGGTACCATAAATGATCTAATAGACTCTCCCGGGGCGTTTATTTAATTTTAGGAGCCCCAGCGGTGGCGTTTGAATACATAGTAGGCGTTCCAAAGAGAGAGAGTCGGTTATTTTGATAACTATTACAAACTTCAGAAAACTCAGATGCTTTCGGCAAACATATCACCACAGTTAACAAATAACAGACTATCCAGTCCATCCATTGAACAAGAGGTAATGCGTAAACTTTAAATCAAGCGAGAAACTGAATAACTTGGGTGATTTTGCTCTGTTTCGCTATCAATTTTTAGCATTTGGAGCAATTGTCGAGAGGGGTGTCTGTGAGACAGGGGGCGTTTGTTGGAGAGAGGAATCTGGTAAAAACACAACAGCGTAAGAGGCGTTAATTTGAGAGAGGGTGTCTATTAGATCATGTACGGTATTTCGTCTAATTGGTTGATCCACGAGTATATACATACTTACTACACTGTACAACAGTGAATGGTTTAAACTCACGAGTCATTTCATAATTTCTAAGTACGCGGAGCATAATCGTCCGGAAGAGCGTAGTCCTGAATAAGACTGTTGCTGACAGTGACTGACGTTTCGACAACCTGTGCGGTAGTCATCTTCAGAATCAAAGTGAGTTGCATCGCGTAAGTTGATGGTATTAAACACATCAAACGCACAAATCATATTAAGAGTCCTCAAACCTAATAACATCACGGCTTAACTGAAAGACAACAAAT